TGGGCAGGGTGGTGTCAGCTGGGTTTGAAGGTGGCGGTGGTATCTGCTATGACAGCAGTGAAGGGACATCTGGTCTGGCAGTGAGGAAGGCAGGCATCAGTGCTGGCTATGGGGCTCAGGAGGGTGTTGGATCTCAGAGGACATAGATGATTTAAAGTTGGAGACCAAGGATAGTGTGTCAAAGTTCGCAGATGACACTAAGATAAGTGGTAAAGCAAAGTGTGCAGAGGACACTAAAAGTCTACAGAGGGATATAGATAGGTTGAGTGAGTGGGCAAAGGTCTAGGCAGACGGAGTATAATGTTGGTAAATGTAAGGTCATCCATTTTAGTAGGAATAACAGCAAAATAGACTATTATTTAAATGGTTAAAAACTGTAGCATGCTGCTGAGCAGAGGGACATGCGTGTCCTTGTGTATGAATCACAAAATGTTGGTTTGCAGGTGCAGCAGGTAATTAAGAAGGCAAATGGAATATTGTCCTTCATTGCTAGATGGATGGAGTTTAAAACTAAAAAGGTTATGCTACAACTGTACAGGGTGTTGGTGAGGCCACACCTGGGTACTGTGTACAGTTTTGGTCTCCTTACTTGAGAAAGGATGTACAGCCACTAGAGGCAGTGCAGAGGAGGTTCACTAGGTTGATTCTGGAGTTGAGAGTATTGGCTTATGAGGAGAGATCGAGTAGACTGGGACTATACAATTTGGAATTTAGAAGAATGAGATGGGTGGATGGGGGATCATATGGTAACATACAAAATTATGGAGGGAATAGATAAGATAGAAGCAGGGAGATTGTTTCCACCGGTGGGTGAAAGTAGAGCTAGGAGGCATAGCCTCAAAATCAGGGGGTGCAGATTCAGGACTGAGTTGAGGAGGAACTTCTTCACCCAAAGTGTTGTGAATCTGTGGAATTCTCTGCCCAGTGAAGCAGTTAAGGCTACCTCGTTGAATGTTTTTAAGGCAAAGATAAATTTTGAACAGTAAAGGTATTAAGGGTTATGGTGAGTGGGCAAGTAAGTAGAGCTGAGTCCACAAAAAGATCAGCCACGGTCTTATTGAAGCCCCCATTTCTTATGTCCTTATGTAGGAGTCTGGCAGTAGGTGAACAGAAATGGGACAGGGTGATGTCGGGTCATGGCCATAGAATGGATGGTGTGCTCTGGTGAAAGGGGTATCAAGTCAAGTCCTGGGAGTAAATGTGGGTGCCAGATCCTGTGGTTAGTAGGAGGGTATCAGATCCAGAATTGAGTGGTGTCCAGTTCTGAGAGTGGGAAATAGTGTCAGGTCCTGGAGGTAAGGAGTTTTAGGTCAAGCTCTGAGGGATGCAGGGCTTCTGAAGGAGCTGTATTTGGGGGTTGGGGAGATCATAGGTTGGCGGTCTATTAAATAGTTAGTCAGGAGCCAGACTTGGACTTTAATGTCAATTATTTACTTGACTGCATGAAGTCTCTCCAAATTCTCCAATTTAAATGGACGTTTTCAGGGAGTTGCAATGGTTGCATAATTGCCCAGGCTATTTGCTGGAGTGTCTTTCACATTGGTGATTCCACAGGTTTCCCATGCCCAATATACTGAAGAAACAATTATCTGACAGTCGCTGTGTTATCCCTAATCATAGTACACAGATTTCTGTACCAGTACACTGGACTTGCTAGAGGCTCTATGTTCAGTTCAAGGTTTGAATGAAAATAACGTTATCCGATAGAAGTCTCCCCTAAGAGGAGTTTTATTTTATGAGGCTTTTTGTCTTCTGTCCAAAAGATTCAACAAAATGTCTTGTTTTCAGTAATGCTCGACCAAAAGACTACTGCATACCATATTATTAATTTGTTGAAACACTGAAAGTCGTTGTCTAAGCTGTAGGTACTGACATAGGAAACTTGCTATGCCTTTCTTGTTGATAAGGCAATCACTGTCAATAATATTCTGGGTAAGCTTCCAACGACAAGCTTTTGCTCATTTTGTAATAACTGAATGGACTGAAGGGTAGTCCGAATAAAATGAAGGCCCAATGTCAGTTCTGTTTAATTGTGCTAAGTTTAGAGCAAGTGCGTCAAATACAACTTAAGATTTGCATTTGGCTGTGTGTGTGTGTGAGAGAGAGTGAAATTGTGGAGGTCGTTAAAATCTTCTTCAATATTTAATATTGTTGTCCTTATTTTGAAGTCAACCGCACCAGAAAATATACAAAACTGACTAAGGGACTTCCTACCAATTCCGCCATTAAGTTAACGTACATGCACATTCGGTACTGATCCTCAGAGGAGACTCGTTTTCTGAAAAAAACAAAATAACTCTCTATTTGGTTTGGTTGGTTGTTGTAAAGGGGTTTCGGAGGGATCTACATACGGACCTGGCCCCAGCTCACCTATTACAGCACAAAACGGCAGGACACAGATTCTGATCCGATGAGATTGTGTTTTGTAGGGAGATTAGATCTGAACTAATATGTTCTTTACAATTCACTTTTCCACGGAGGCCCTTTACTCCCTGCATTGTTGTACAGCCCTGGCCCTGGTTCACTGACCCAGTGTGCCGAGGACAGCCTGTAAGACTCCGCAGTGAGCCACAGTCGTATTTTACTGCATTACGGGGACAGCGCCATGCACAGTTCACATGGCCACGTTCGTGGGTCTCCTGCGCAGTGCAGAGACGACAGCGATCACTTGAAGACATACCACGGTTTTGTGGTTGAACTAAACGTCGTGTCCACCTGAGCAGGAACGATTTTAACCTTCAGCAGGTCAGGGAAAGTGCTTAATACCAACTTCATGAAGGGAAGTCTCGGTAAATACATGAGAGGGAGGAGTCGAGGGATGTGTTAGAGGAAGTCGGAGGGAGAAGCCTCGTGTGGAACATGAGCCCCAGCATAGAGCAGTTGGGCAGAATGGCCTATTCCTGTACATAACTCCATTGTACAAAGGCTTGACGTATTTTCAGTACGTTAGTGAGATTCTGCACATCCTGATTAACGTTTCTTTCTTCAATCGAAACCTTGGGATTCTGGAGCCTATCTATAGACCTTTCGTCAGGTGTTCCTCCATCTCCCCCTTACCCCTCCTTCTTAGAAGGTGCCCCTTTTAAATGCCTATCTATTCTCCTGCTGACCCATTTGAATACAACTTCAGCCGATTTATCCTTTTTTTGCATTTAGGCACATTACGAGTCCCGTCTCTCTTGTGTGTATATATTTCCCAGTCCTGGCCCCTTTTAAATGCTGTATATTGGTAACCTTTCCAGTTCTGATGTAACGTCTGAAACTGAAGCAGTGTCTGTTCTGTTTTGTGAAGGTTTTGTGAAGGGTAGGTCGTGCCTCACAAACCTTATTGAGTTCTTTGAGAAGGTGACCAAACAGGTGGATGAGGGTAAAGCAGTTGATGTGGTGTATATGGATTTCAGTAAAGCATTTAAGGTTCCCCACAGTAGGCTATTGCAGAAAATACGGAGGCATGGGATTGAGGGTGATTTAGCGTTTTGGATCAGAAATTGGCTAGCTGTAAGAAGACAGAGGGTGGTGGTTGATGGGAAATGTTCATCCTGGAGTTCAGTTACTAGTGGTGTACCGCAGGGATCTGTTTTAGGGCCACTGCTGTTTATCATTTTTATAAATGACCTGAGTGAGGGCATAGAAGGATGGGTTAGTAAATTTGTGGATGACACTGAAGTCGGTGGAGTTGTGGATAGTGCGGAAGGATGTTGCAGGTTACAGAGGGACATAGATAAGCTGCAGATCTGGGCTGAGAGGTGGCAAATGGAGTTTAATGCGGAAAAGTGTGAGGTGATTCACTTTGGAAGGAGTAACAGGAATACAGAGTACTGGGCTAATGGTAAGGTTCTTGGTAGTGTGGATGAGCAGAGCGATCTCTGTCCATGTGCATTGATCCCTGAAAGTTGCCACCCAGGTTGATAGGGTTGTTAAGAAGGCGTACGGTGTGTTAGGTTTTATTGGTAGAGGGATTGAGTTTCAGAGCCATGAGGTCATGTTGCAGCTGTACAAAACTCTGGTGTGGCCGCATTTGGAATATTGCGTACAGTTCTGGTCGCCACATTATAGGAAGGATGTAGAAGCATTGGAAAGGGTGCAGAGGAGATTTACCAGGATGTTGCCTGGTATGGAGGGTAGGTCTTATGAGGAAAGGCTGAGGGACTTGAGGCTGTTTTCGTTAGAAGAAGGTTAAGAGGTGACTTAATAGAGACATACAAGATGATCAGAGGATTAGATAGGGTGGACAGCGAGGGCCTTTCTCCTCGGATGGTGATGGCTAGCATGAGGGGACATAGCTTTAAATTGAGGCGTGATAGATATAGGACAGATGTCAGAGGTAGGTTCTTTACTCAGAGAGTAGTAAGGGCGTGGAATGCCCTGCCTTCAACAGTAGTAGACTCGCCAACTTTAAGGGCATTTAAATGGTCATTGGATAAACGTATGAATGATAATGGAATAGTGTAGGTTAGATGGGCTTCAGAATAGTTTCACAGGTCGGCGCAACATCGAGGGCCGAAGGGCCTGTACTGCGCTATAATGTTCTATGTTCCCTCTACAGGCGCACATCTGACGGGTGTATTCGGAGCATCTTTCCGTCTCTTTCTTGTTGTTGATGTATTTCCTCCTGCACGGCACCAACCTCCCTCGACATTTCCATAAAATTAATCATGAGTAATTATTTCTCCTGCACACAGCTACACTCACATACATAGATGGTGTTCATTTTTACGGCAATAAGAAGTGTATTACATCAGAGGGGATCCATCTGATTATAATTCAAGTAAATTCGTTAACTGCACACGATCGTTTCCGCGTTCTGTCAATGACTGATGCCATTCACAGTTCGCCCCAACTTTAAGCTCAGAATTCCAGACGCAGAGCTCGAAGACAGCCAGGACACAGGTCCTCTGCACTCCAGCGTGGCTGAAAGCCTTTGCAAATCGATGGAGTGGAATTTGCTGTCTTTCTCTCTCGCTGTCTCCCTGAGACTGGAAGATTCCTATTTCTAAAAAAAAACTTGTACAAGCCCGCCGCTAACGCGACGTGTCTTGGGCTGTAACCCCTATGGGATACTCTCCGACCTATTTGTCCCGCCTGCTCTGATCTGTCTTGTTCCCTCCATGGGGCGCGGAGAAGTTGGGTCCAGTCTCGGACTGAGGAAGCTTTCAGTGACTGTATCTCAAGGCTAAGAGTTTCGAGTGGCGGACCATACAAGCGGTGACATGCAGTTATTACCGGCCCTGGTGATGTGTGTGTTATCCCTGCCTGGTACCACAGGTAAGACATCCGTCTCTCTCTCTGTCGTTCAAGTGCCAAGAGCGCAATCCATATTCTGAAAGCAAAAGAGATGGGAAGATAGATGTTTTGAAAATGACTTCTAATCGCAATTAAATCAGTTAACCGAGTTAGCCTTGGCTAGATGACAAAAGTGCGAGTATATGAGACAGACTTGTCTCGTAGGACTCTTGTCTGAGCTGAAATCAGCCATAAAAATGGAGATTTCTGCCAGAGCCTGTTTGCGAAATGATATTTACCTTAATCCACTCTCTCAATGATTCTACACACATAAACAGACAGACCTAATTCGCGTATTTTACTTCTGTGTACAATCGTTTAATTTTATAATATATGCCTCAGAGTTTTGGGAGTGAATTGGCCCTGGAAAAGCTCAGATTTCCGAGATAGATGAGTGCAAAAGACGTCCTCAGATGCAATAATAAGGATTTCTTTGCCCCTGTTAAATGAAAGACAGCATGACAAAAGGGTGATTGCAAAACAGAAAGACCAGGCGTTTATTATATAGATAGAATCGGATTATGGAAAGAAGCGAGGCAAAGGCACAAGGTCTGGAGAAAATTTGTTTACGTGCTCCACCATCTGGTTGATTCTTAATCTGATGATGTAACGGACATATTCGCCAAATTCTCAGACTTACTTCATATATTTATGTTCAAGAGAGAATGGTGGATATGCTCCAGATAGTGGAAGGATGGTGCTACCATATTGTGGAAATATACATAACAACTAAATACAATTAATGGGTGGTAATTGATGGAACAAAAAAAGTTGGTTCAAGTTGTCAAAATTAACAAATAAACAACAGCACACGGTGTTATTTGCAATCTCCCATTTCTAGTCCACACCGCAAGGCTTATTCTTTTTACCCAGTTTTGAAATATACCGAAGCCTCGTAATTTGCCGAATTTCAGTGTAACCACCCCGCGTTATGCAAATTAGATAACATTTGAAGAGCACTGAAATGCTAAATAAACCATCAATGCAAGGAAAACCATTAGAATATCCATTTAAGAATAAATGGAGTCCTAATTCGTAAATCTGATATACATAATATATAGGAATATTCATGATGAAAGTATTTCAATTAATTGCACAGTTTGCTAATTTAGTTTATTAATATCATTATTACAAAGTAAGGTATCCTTTATTTCTGAAGAAGGGTCTAGACCCGAAACGTCAGCTTTCCTGCTCCTCTGATGCTGCTTGGCCTGCTGTGTTCATCCAGCTCTACACCTTGTTACCTCTGGTATTTATTTATTTGTCTTCAGTTAATGCTTGTAGCAAATTTATATCGTCGCTATTACCGTTATACTGTAATTTGATAAATGTAGAGATGACAACAGTTTGGTAAAGTAGACTAAACATGAAAAAGCTGTCCAAAATAATGTTTGAAATTTTCTTCTTATTTGTTTCCTTTGAATTGCACAGCTGTCTCATAGCGCTAGGGAGCGAGGTTCGATTTCAGCCTTGAGCGTCTGTATCGAGCTCGCACGTTCTGCGTAGGTTTTTTTTAATAGAATCCCTACAGTGTGGAAACAGGCCCTTCGGCCCAACAAGTCCGCACCGACCTTCAGAGCACCCACCCAAACCCATCCCCCTCTTACCCACCTAATGTACAAATCTCTGAACACTACGGGTAATTTAGCACAGCCATAGATATGGCAGCATTCTTCCCCATCTTGTTGATAGTCAAACCTTGTTCTATTTTGTGCTATTCCCCCTATGATATATTATTTGTTGTTGCATTGCTTGTTTGATTCAGTATTTTAAAGTGCCAGTCTATGTAATCCCTACCAAAAGCTTGCAGTAGATACATGAAAATATCTAAATTGATACTACATTATCACAAGGCAGGTGATGATATTTGCTTTAAAACATATGAAACCTGACTTAACATTTTGAAAAAATATGGATTAATTAATATTTTGGATTTAGTCAGTTATATTCAAATGGAAATGATTCTTTTCTTGCATGAAAAATAGGAAGAATAAAGAGTGCACAAACAGACTACAGGTCCTAAATTAGCAATGTCAGTATTTTTATGTTCCTTATGATTTTACATCTTACCCTACTTCATCCAATCCTATCAACATAATCTTGCGTTATTTTCTTCCTTATGCACCTATCTAGCTTCCACTTAAGCAATTTGTCTCAAGCATTTCCGGTAGTGAGTTTTTCTAGTTCAGACATCTCCGTATAATTATAATAATTTATGCTGCTTGATTTAGAATTAAGAAATAAAATATAATTATAGCTGGAATACTGAAATATGAGGTTTAAATTGAACGTATTAGGAAAAGAAAATGAGTAGGACTTACATTTATACATTGCCTTTCAGACCACAAATGTACTTTTCACGAGTAGACACAATTGCAATGTAATCAGCTTAAATAAAGTTAGTATTTTACCAATGGAACACTAGAATGGTTTGTAAGATAATGAATTCAAATCCTTTAACTCTCTAAATGTTTAGTACAGTTATGTTGCACTGATTTTACAATAGACAATCAGAAGTTGTCCCAGATTAAATCTTTTCTTGGTAATTTTCTGTAAAAATGAGAACTTTGAGAGCAGTGGGAAGTCCTTTTCTAAAGAAGGACTTCAGTATTAATTTCTTTCTAATTATAAACTTGGCTCCTTAGCTCATCAGATAGATTAATTTATATCAAAGATAAAAGTAAATGCTTTATTAGATTGCAATTATGCAAATCATAAAGATGTTACAAGATTTCTGCCTCCTCCTGACATCCATAAACAGTAGTCCTCATTACCATATCTAGATTAATGATGACAGACATCACATGCTTGATGACTGAGTGTCATGTAGATTTTAAAGGCTTGAACACTGAGGATGTGGCTTTCATCATCTATTAAGCTAACCTTGGAATGATGTCACTTCAAGAATGCTACATGACAATGAGAGCCACTTTATTTGCTGACTAAGTATTTCTGTGCTAACTGCAGTGCATATGATACTGAATGGTTTCAGTTCAATGCACTCATAGTCTGTATCTATATCCCTACAGTTACCATTTAGCACTATATGATAAATATTTAAGTAATGCTTATTTCATTAGATAAAAATATTTAGTCATCATAAAATAATATTTAATCACTTTAGGGATGAAGAAAAGCTATTACCAGTGACAGAAAGGTTTATAATTAAAGGACAAAGACATAAGATAATTGGTAAAAGCAGTGACATGAGGGGGAAAAGATTTTGCAGTGAATTTCTATGAGCTAGAATACATTGCCTCAGAGGGTGTTTAAAGCAGGCTCAATGATAATTTCGAAAGGGAATTGGATAACAATTTGATGGGGACTAACATTGCTGGACTATGGGGAAGCAAAAGACAAGTGAAACTAATTTAATATTCTCTTTTTTTCATGGAATGGACCTGCACTTATTGTCCAGTCCCCACTATCCTTGAACTGAATGGTTTACTAGGACATTTTAGAGGGCAATTGAGAGTGATCATATTGCTGTGGGTTTGGAGTCACATGAAGCTCAGATGCAGTAAGTAAGGCAGATTTCCTCTCCCAAAGGTCAACAGTGAACCAGCTGGATTTTTGCAACAATTGATGATCGTTGCCATGGTTGCTATTATTGAAGCTAGCATTATAAACTAGATCATTTAACTGAATTGCAATTCCACCAGCTGCCATGTTGGAAGTTGAATGTATGCCCACACAAAATTAGCCTGGGCCTCCAGATATCTAGTCCAGTGACATCAGCATCACAGCACTTCTTTCAAACAGCTTATGCAGGTGTAATGGATTGATTGGCATTCTTCTGTGATGCATCAATCCATAATTCCACAATCAATAGGTGATAGTCAGAACCGTGTCATCTATTGTCAATAATCTTTGTCTCTTTGCTGGAGTAAATTTTGCTTGAAATAAACTGACTAACTTGTTTCTGATACTGAATTAATTAAACCCTAACACGTATGTATTTCACAATATCCACCACCTTTTCTGAATTCAAAATTTGCTATGTGCAGTGGAGGAGTGAGTCTAGAAAAAATATTTAGTTAGTTTGCTTTTTCTGGTGCAGACCTGATTGGCTAAAGGGCCATCTACTGTGCTGTAGACTTTAGTGATTCTATGATGTTTAGATCCCTCCAACCTCAATTGTAACTCAACAAATACATTGAATGTTGTAAAAATGCCTTAGGGCTTGAATGGCAACAATGGATTACTGTTGTGATTTATGGATAACTAGTAATGTCATCAGAGATTACTGCCTACAATTAATAAACTAATGTCAAAGCATAAACCAAAGAATTTACCTTCCTATTGTCAAATGCATTGGCTTTTGGACAGTATTTAGCTCAATATTAGAAACAGCCAAATAGTATAACCTGCGAGTAGAATCTTACTGTGGCATCAGACGACTTGCCTGCTACCCAGAGATCTGTTGGGAGAACCTCACTGCCTTTTATTGGGAAGGCCCACTGAGCTACAACCCAGTCAGGCAGTAAGTAGAACACCCTGGGCCTTCCCCTGGAACCAAGATTCAGGAGCTGAGGTGTCACTTACCAAGAGCAATTAGCCAATTAGAAGTGGGCAGATTTTGTGCTTAGGTAATGTCACTGGGGAGGCTGTGCCTGCTGACAGGACAGAATTCAGATTTCCAGGATTGCAGAATGACACAGATCACAAGCAAGTAATGTTCAGGGGCTGGGGAAAGTGAATCATTCACAGAATGGGGTTATGCAGAGTTGGTTGGCAGCAAGAGCAGGAGATTGATACTCAGTAGGCCCTCCCTGGCCCGAAGTCCAGTTCTTCAATTAGGCACTGAATATCTTTGATTGAGGGACTTCCATCCCCTAGACCCCACCTCCCAAGTTGTCAAGCTTGGTTTCCCTTGCTGCGCAGGTCAAATTGCAATATAGCCTCTGTGCAACTGAGTTAATGTAAGTGACAGGAGTAAGGGTTGGGTTGGGATCCCAAGATGGGTTTAGGAGCCCAAGTGT